AAGAGAGAGAAGAGAGAGAGGAGGGAGAAGAGAGAGAGGAGAGAGAAGAGAGAAAAGAGAGGAGAGAAGAGAGAAGAGAGAAGAGAGAAGAGAGAAGAGAGAAGAGAGAAGGGAGAAAGAAGAGAGAGAGAGAGAGAGGGAGGGGCTATAGACAGAGAGAAGAGAGGAGAGAGAGAGAAGAGAGACGAGAGAGAGAGAAGAGAGAGAAGAGAGAGAAGAGAGAGAAGAGAGAGAAGAGAGAGAAGAGAGAGAAGAGAGAAGAGAGAAGAGAGAGAGAAGAGAGAGAGAAGAGAAGAGAGAGAGAGGAGAGAGAGAGAGGAGAGAGAGAGAAGAGAGAGAGAGGGAGGGAGGGAGGAGGGAGGGAGGAGGGAGGAAGGAAGTAAGCAGCTAATGTATTGCTTCTGGAACAATCTTCAGAGAAATGTAGCAGAAAAAATTGCAATCATCCCATGAATAAAAAATGAGACTCAGACGAGTAACATTGTTATAAATAAACAGAAAGGAACAATTCTCATACCTGGTCCATTGTCACGGTGTTCAGGTTCACAGCGTCTTCTTGAAGGTCAATGTCATGGACGCTTGACACAAAAGCGAGAATCTAGGAGAACACCATACAACCGACCACAGGCCAAAAGAAAATCACTACCTATATAGTATATATCAACTATAATAGTATAATCATCTATATGATTTTCTTTTGTACAAATTTTAAATACACACGAATCATGTTTCATAATGGGCCTCGCTCCACTACTCACCAAATGTGCAAAGTGAGAAAGAATCTTCCGCTAGAACGTGGGCAGATACACCGCCATATTTTTTGTCTTTTGTGCATGTTGCAGTAGTGAAGCGAGGCCCAGTATATCATAAGCACAATCTCATAATCATAAAAAGTCTCCGCAGACTCTCCCGTGCTCGTATACGATCATAAACAACAAATCGCAGAAGTTAGTACCAGTCAGCACATTAGCAAACAAATTTTAGAGCACTGGGTCTGTCAGCCAAAACCCATGCAACGCCTCTCCAAATGATGATCGCTCTATTATTAGGCCTACATAGTACATTCCCGTTTTCACACTTGCCCTCCACCCTCGACTCACTAGCACTCCCTCCACTAAACATCATCCTGGCACAAAACAAAACAAAACAAAACAAAACAAAACAAAAAGAAATTTCAAATGGCATCTGCTATCTTCTTTCCTTCTTTCCTTCTTCTTTCGAAAGGCGGCAACTTGCCGGCAACTTTTCGCCCCAACATCCCTGTGCCTACATGATGTCTACTGCTCCCATCATTCTCTTTCACCATTGTGTCTCTCTGCGAATATGTCTGAGCTATTATCATCATCTCTTTGTTCACATAATAGTAGTAGGTTAGGCTACGTAGTAAACTACCATCTTCCCATGACCGCAAGATCCAGTAATTATGACTGCATCTGGGCAGGAACGCAGCTCGTATGCTTTCGTGACGAGCAGGCGTTGTGCTCAAGGGAAGAAGGCAGGCTTAGCGTAAGCTATTGGCACACATCACAGCACTCTGCAAGAATGAGGCAGGATGTACTTCACGGCTTCTAGTAGGATGGGGAACATGGACTAATGGGTCAGCGAAAGCATGAACCTGGTCACAAAACTGGCTAGATAAGGGAGGGGGGGGTGCTGAGTGACACTTGAGGGCTAGATGAGGGAAAATTAGGCCTGTCAAAGCATGTGCTGGGTACATTCTAGACCTTCGGTTCAAAACGCCTACTGGAGATTCTGTTAGGCATGAACTTTGTGATCAAAGGAGCTCAACTTGCACGTTCGGCGAAACTGGAAACCTAATCCATGACATGTCTTCAGTGAAATCTGCAGATCACCAGATTCGTAATTACATTCGTGTACCTAGCCAATCTGGCTGAATGGAGCACTCAGAACTGTTGATAAACAGACCTGAGGTCAAATCCCGATCGAATCAGGTAAGTAAAATGAATCACTCTGAATTACCTGGCGCCGGCCAGTTCAATGACGACATCTCGAGGCCGTTGCCCTCCCAATGGAATCAGGTAAGTAAAATGAATCACTCTGAATTACCTGGGGCTGGCCAGTTCAATGACGACATCTCGAGGCCGTCGCCCTCTCTGAGAGGAAAAAAGGGAACAAAACTACATTTGGGTGGTCGCCCCTTTTGCAGCTGAAAGGAACACATCATAGCAGCTGTACATTGCGTATGATGTAGCTGAATGGAAGACACAAGTAAGCGGTTACTAAACAGACCATGAGTTTGAACCCTGAGGAAATCAGATAGAATATAATAACAAAGTAGAAAACAAAACACGTTGTAGCAGCTGTAGGCACGTATGATGTGCTATCTAGGTTCATGTCTGCACTACGAGTCTACCTTGTAAAAGCGCCTTTATGATTCAGACCCGTAAACGTGACCCCAGCAAAAGGGGCCCTCTCGGCCAGAACTCGATTTCACGAGCAACATTCCAAAAGACAAGTCCCTGAGTTATATGTTGCATCCAGAATGAAGTGAAAAGTCGTTTTGAACAGTCACGGACACGTCCTAGGCGAACAGGTACTGAACACAGACTTCAAGGCTGAGATAGAGTCATGTCTGTTTGACGATAAGTCGTGTCTGTTCGGCAATAAGTCAAAGGCCACAGTCCCAGTCCAGTAACAGTCCGACGGGTCAGTCCTGATTCAGACCAGGAGTCCAAAAGACAGGCCGACGTCCAAAAGCAGCAGCAGACCATGGGAAAAGATACTGGGACACACACTTTGCAACAACAGGTACTGGGCAGGAGTCCCAGACCCTGGAGGCCGAGTTCAGACCTCGCCAGACCAGTCCAGCGCTATAAAGGACTGGCCAGCCTCCTCATTGGGCAGAGGCTCATTTCGGATGAGAGTGTGGAAGTGCCGTGGTACTTGTGCGCCAGATGTGTGTGAGCTGCGCTAGGCTGAAGAGCAGCGCCATGTGAGAGGGAAGAAGTGAACGCTGGCTAGAGGGAAGGCAGCCATAGCTGCGCCAGCGCTAGTTAGTATATTAGTAGGGATAGTCAGTAGGAGACACCAGTGAGTAGCATTCAGAGTAGATCCTCATGTGATAGGGAGTATGCATGCATGATGAGTGTGAGTAGACCAGGACTGTAGACAGAGAGGGAGAGAAGAAAGACAAGGAGGTGAAGAGAGAGAAGAGAGCTATGGTGATACTTACCTGTTGAGCGCCGATCTTGGTGATTGTTGGCTAGCGCTGATGAGCGCCTGGCCTGGAACACTGATTGAATGTAGAAGACATGTATTTCTGTTGGGTGCTATACCTTTTGAACTCGTGATTCTCTCTGGTTGATCCGGTTGTGATAATTGAGAGGCACTACCTGGTTTCCACTCGTTCTCCCTTGTACTTTGTGTGAGTCTTTGCAATCTGAGTGACCGGCGTGACATGCATGTTATCCGGGACACTCCAGCAAGTGATGAACCATCAGGTTCCTTGCACTTGGAGCCCCTTCAGCACTCGTAGCACTACGGGTCTACCTTGGAGCCCCTTCAGCACTTGTAGCACTGCATAGATATTGTATGTGCTTATGATCATGCTCAGTGAGCTAGAGAGTCTGCTTCAGTCTAGCCCGCTGACCCTCCTCCTCCCCTGTCATCTCCCACTCCAGCTTCTTGGGTCAAGGTATCACTCTCCTTTCTCCCTCGCTAGTCATTCCTTTCCTTGTCTGTCTTCTGTCCCCCTCGCCTCCCCTCCCTCCCTCCCTCTCTCTCTCTCTCTCTCTCTCTCTCTCTCTCTCTCTCTCTCTCTCTCTCTCTCTCTCTCTCTCTCTCTCTCTCTCTCTCTCTCCATACAGACATGTCCGGACCAGATGTGCGCCTGACATCTGGACATGACCTTCAGGTCCTGAACCATCTGCTGTGCTTCTTTTGAACAAACCAACTAGTAAGAGATGCAGGATGAAATGGCAGGAATCATAAACAGCCAGGATCACGAGAAGAGAGGTGTGGTGGAATGGCAATTAGCAGCAGGTGCGAATCGATGCTTGTCTCATGGATTAGGACCACTTGGCTGGCTGGTCATCTCTAGGCAGTGTATAAACATTGGGGTACTCGCATAGCCCCATCATCAGGGTCCTCAGGCCAATTCACCAGGGACCAAGCAAGCGGAGGCTATGAGATGAGTATAGGGACTGGAGGGACTAGTAGAGAGGACGCCGATAACGTGTAGCTTGGGTAGGACTTACTGAGCCTGTCTCCTGAGTAGTAGGTAGGGTAAATAGATCAAGGGGGGGTATACTGTACATTAATAGGAGGGAGGTAGGCCCTCTACACCTGTCCGAGGGGGGATCGGCTAGGGATCTTCTAAGTCAATGGTTGGGAGACAGCTGCTTAGAGTGGGGGTCCGCAATACATCCAGTCGGAGGTTGGATCTGTAGGGACAGAATCCGATCTCTGGTGGCAAGCTGTATGGTGTGGAACGGACACAACTTGCGATAGGACTCGGGGCTCTAAGCCCGTAGAGGACTCCATCTAGGAAGGTCCAGAGGGCCAAGTGGGTCATTCCCAACTTCGAGTGACTGAACCCCGGACAGTACTCCCGCGCCTGATGCCCTGCCTCTACAACAACCTGGGCGTTTCCAAAAAAAAAAAAAAAGGAAAAAAAGAAGAAAAAGAAGGAAAAAAAAGAAAAAAAAGGGGAAAAAGGGGGAAAAAAAGGGAAAAAAGGAAAGAAAAAAAAAAGAGACACAAAAAGAAAAAGAAAAAAAAGAAAAGAAAAAGAAACGGCAATTGGCAATTGCCGTTACAGGGAGGACTGACAACAGTTGAAGATGCCTAAAGAGGCTCCAAGGAGGCAATTGAAGAGGACCCAAGTTGAGTGAAGATGGTTCAAGATGAGTGACTGCAAGTAAAGATGATTCTGAAGATGGTGAAGATTTCAGATGAAGGCGATTGAAGATCATGGAAGATGATTGAGGATGATTGAAGATGATTGAAGTCGATTGAAGCCGATTCTCAAAGATGATTGAGATGATTGAATATGAGTAAGACAAGTAAAGTTGATTCTGATTCTTTTTCCGAAGATGAAAATGAAGTCTATTGAAGATGATTGAAGATGACAAAAGTTGTGCTAGTCCCTGGCAAGCCCGGACTGGGTCTGTCTGCCCCAGTACCCACCCAGGCGAGGTGCAGCCAGGGTCCTGAGCAGTCCCAGCGCAAAATATTAAGGGTTAAAAAAAAAAAAACATTTTGAAACAAAATCTGGAAAACAAACTGGTGTATACAATTGCAATACAGAACGTTTGGTGAAGGGTGTCCTTTCCTCACTAATTTCAAGATAAAATCATAAAAGTAAAATAGAAAACGTCGAGAGTTAAGATACACCCCTGTAAAACCCTTCCACTCCTGTTTATACCCTCCAAGCTTCCCTGGGTGACCCATCAGCCTGGATTCTGACTGCTCAGCCCCCCCGCCCCTCCCCCCCCTCCCCCCAACTCCCCCTGCCTGACAGGGCACGAGAGGCCACGCACCCACCCAGCCCAGGAGTAAGGACGATTGAAGATGATTGAAAATGATTCAAAGTGACCAGAAGTGGTTAAAAATGATTGGAGGTCGTTGAAGCCAGTTGAGGACTTGTTGAAAGCAAGTAAAGATGAATGTGGAGATGATTGGAGATATCCTTGCAAATGATAATTACACGTCCGGATCTGTAACGGGTGGAAACTTACCTCTGTTCCAGAGTACATTTGCAGAAATTTCTTGGCGACTGCACCTGCAGCCACTCTTCCAATCGTTTCTCTCGCAGAGGATCGGCCACCACCCTAAGAGGACCAGAGACAAACCACACAAGGGTCAGATATCTGCAGACTGGGCAGAGGGGGACGACAAGCGGGGTGGCCGTGAATTCAAACACAGCACGCGCACGCACGCATACACAGGCATACACACACAATCGCACAGCCCGCCACACACACACACACACACACACACACACACACACACACAGAGAGAGAGAGAGAGAGAGAGAGAGAGAGCTTATACACATCTAGATGTGTATAAGAGACAGCACACACACACACACACACACACACACACACACACAATCGCACAGCCCACAGCACGCACACGCACACACACACACACACACACACACCTGTCTCTTATACACATCTAGATGTGTATAAGAGACAGAGGTAATCCTGAGGGTTAAGCCACCAGTACATCAGGGCCTCTTTTGCACGAGGCGGATTACCCCTGCACGCAAAGCATTGCCGAAATGCCAGCACGATGTTTTTTGTTGTTGTTTTTGTTTTGTTGTTTTTGTTTTGACTGGCGCCGCCAGCCATTTTGGTCCGGTTGCCCTGAACCTCAGAAAATTTAGGACTGACTCAATCGTGATTCTCATTCTGGCTGAGGCCATGTACTGGTGGTTTAAGGAAGGATTTGGTGAACAGAGGGTCCAAGCAGCATTTCATTAACTGCTAACACAGACATGCGCAACTCCTCAACAACAGTTAGTTGCGCCATTCAGATGTGCACATCTATGTCGGTTGCCGCATTAGTTCGCCACCGCTCGCCTAATAAGCAGAGCATTTTGGTTGAGGAGGTGCGCATGGACATCCCTCTGGCATTCATTCTCAAACTGTGGTTGAGGAGTTGCGCCAACAACAGTTAGTGGCGCCACTTTGTTCGTTAAGGACCCAGAGAGAACTGTGTGGCTAGGACATTTCTTCCCTCTGGCATTCATCCTCCAACATTGAATTTCTGGTCGCAAGAGCGGAGAGAGAGAGAGAGAGAGAGAGAGAGAGAGAGAGAGAGAGAGAGAGAGAGAGAGAGAGAGAGAGAGAGAGAGATGCTACATTCTCAAAGATGTTGAGAAAAGCTAGAAAAACAGAATTCTGCTCGTGGAAAGAAAGTTTAAGAAACCCTTAGAACAACCCAGCCGATGAGTGTGAACGGTACACACCGTACTACACAGCACTACACACATGTAACTTTTAGCAAAACAGACAGTGAGTTCAAATACTGATGGATGTAATCAGATGGTTACACTACTGTTAGAAGAATAGCCTGGAGATCGAAGAGGGAGGAGAGACATAAACATTTTATGTATTGATCACAATGTATTTTATTAAACATCGATTTATGCATCAATGAACTCAATGCTTATGTCTCTACTCCCTCTTTCTTACTCTTCTTCTTCCCATTGTCCTATCATGTGACTCATCGTTGCTCTCTCTTCTCAGTTGCCATTCGTCTGAACTTTGTCAGTGTGCGTCATGACGGTGATTATTTTGTAAGCATCAGGAGACGGGTTCATGACATAAACCCCTCTAAGCCCCTTTAAACCCCTCTAAACCCTCTCTACACCCCAGCAAGACCCCCTTCAACCCATGTGCAACACGACCTTTCTTTTCTTTTTTATGAAACAAAAAGCCAGATGTGTTGTCCATGTGACATGTGCGACATGACCTCCTTTTTTTTGTGTGATTTTACGGCTTTTTTTTGTCTTGATTAACAGGACCCTGATACCTGGCCCCAGAGAGTCAAGTGGCATAATCGCCGAAAAAGACAAAACTGCCCTTATTTGAAAACAAGAAGAAACTGAGACCATGCGACTTCCGAACCCGTTACGAGACCTGGTGAGTTGAAACTCCATTGAACGACCAGTACACTCGATCCTGGAGAACTGGTACTGCGCCCCCAGCTTTGCCAAACCGCCGGTCGCGCACTTCGTTTCTTTCTCGGCTGGCGCCGGCGGCCATTGTGGTCTGGTAGGGTCCGGTAGCCCCGAGCCTCTAAAGCTTCAGGAGTGAGCCATTCGTTTTTTCAAGTTGCCACACACTGGCGGTTTAAACCGCGATTACACAGCCCCAGCCTTGCAGAAAGTTTTTGTCGCCACAAGCAAAACTCGGAGGGGCCTCGCAGCCTGCGGCGCCGTTGAAAAACAAAATCGGCGGCCTCGGAAATGGTGCGGGTTTCGTGCTGACACCCACAGGCCGATGTGTGGTGTACTGGTGCTTTAAGAGTCGAGGTTGATGACCAGTGTGGGGGTGGTATCACCCCCGTTAAGCCGTACAGTATCTTTTTGTTTGCCCGCAGGGTCCGTTTCATCCCCCTCTCATTCCCTTTGGAAAAGGGTAGTTCCCCAATACAACTGTCAGATAGGGTGTCTTCTTTGTGTTTGTGAAGAAGGGCCATTTCATCCACCTGTCTGACCTCTCATTCCCTTTGAAAAAAAGCGTACTTGCCGGATACAACTGTAACATAGGTAGTAGTCCATCCTTAGTCTATGTCAAGACGTAATCAAGCAGCCTTTTTCGACAACAATACCAGCAGTGCCTCCCCTCCCCCCCTCCTCTCCCTCCCTCCTGGAAAACTCCACCACATCTCCCATTTCTGCCACAGGCTGCTCAAACATTAACAACTGATCCCCGGTCCAGCAAGATCACAGGTCTAGGGGGTAGGTAAACCCCCCCGGCTGGCAAGGGAAATTTACCGAGATGCCCTTTGGTTCGATTTGATGGAAAAAACTGATCTGCCATTATGTCATACCATCGACACCTTGCGCTAGATGTTGCAACACAACAAATTTCATCAGCTCAGTCCTTACAGTCGTTGCCATGGCTTGCAGGCATATTCACACCACAGAATCACAGATAGATTACCTATAACAGATGAGGTAAACTTCGGACTGCAGCAGCCTGTGACAGATTTCTGGCTGGTACTTCGGAAAAACAAAACTCTAGATGCCCATCATACTCTGTGGAAAATAGAACAAAGACCGCTGGTGGAGAGTGGTGGTGGCGAGGGAGAGGAGCGCTCTACCTGCACAGCACGCACTCCGTACTTGAAGTCATATGTTGCATCTGCATGCGAAGGTCGGTACTTCAGTTCCATGTCAGAATAGTCCTGTCACAGTCACACAAGTACAGTTCAGAAAACGTGCAAAGGAAAGAACAAAGAACTGAAATAGTTTAGTCCTTCGGGACATCTGTTAAAATGGGAACGATACAGAGGAGCTAGATTAGCATGGGCCCTGCGCAAGGACGGCATGCATAAATCGAGATATGGTCCGACGAATTGTTATTATTAAAAAAAAAAAATCAGCTCCCGTAAAAAAAAAAAAAGCATGTTTGTGTTTCACTTTGGTCCACGGGGGTGTGGGCGGAGAGAGAGAGAGAGAGGCAGAGAGACAGACAGACAGACAGACAGACAGACAGACAGACAGACACAGAGAGAGAGAGAGAGAGAGAGAGAGAGAGAGAGAGAGAGAGAGGAATATGGGTCTCATTCTTTTTAGAATATGTACAAATCAACAATTTTGTTGAAAGCTTCACAAGAATCAAAAACTTTTGTACTAATGGGCCTAGCTCAGTTGATACACCCCGGAACTGTTGAAATACAGACCTCGGTTTGAATCCCAATCAACTCAGACGAGTAAATAACTTTGAATTTCGTCGGGGCTGTTCAGCTTGAAGATGATATCCCAAGGTCGTCGCCTTTTTTTTTCCCAAAAAAAAAATCAAATCCTTTTTCAACACCTCAGTTCAAAGCAATCTTTTCGTTAAACATGGGCAAACAAGGGTTACTTCCACCATATTCGGTATTTTATTACTTTTCTTTTTGCTCATTAAAAAATATTTTAAGAACCTGATTATCTGCATAAATCACTAAATCTGTGTAGGACACAGAATGTGTTCGACTTCGGAGCTTTCGCAAACGCCCAAGAACACATTCGGGTGTTCGGCCGATCTTTTTTTTTTTTCGTTTTTTTTAATTATTTTTAACTCGTGTTTGACTAAGAATTTGAACATGCCTCCCAGGCAAAAGTTGTTTGTAATAACTTTGTATTATTATTTTACATAACATATATTTTTCTCAGATTCTCCTGAGATTTTTAAAAATATATATTTTTATGTTCGCGTTCGGAGGGTTTTAGCACTCGTTCGTGTTCGGTCGCAACGTTCGATTTCGGTCGCCAACACGATGCTACGCAGCATTAAATCAAATTAAATCATTAAATCGATTTAAAATTTAAATGCATATTTTAAAGCCAACACCACAGCGTTAGAATAAATTGTATTGAATTCCACTTGTCCTCATCTACACCCACCTTTCGTCCCTCCATACATTTATCCTATCTATTCCTTCACAAGAGTCAAAGCCAGCTGTCTATCTATAGATTCATCAAGAGTGACAGTTTGGCGGATGGAAGACGATCAGCCATAAATGATGCCGACAACTGTCTTCACGGGAATAGAACGCCCTGTCATTATCGCTGTATTTGGGGCAATTTTCACTCCAGATGCGGCAATAATAACCGGGCGTTCTATTCAGGTGAAGACGGTAGGGATTGGCAGATGTCACTTGGATGACTCTGCCAGCACCTTGTGAGAAATCAACAGGAGCATTATGAAGACCCAGCCTGAGCACAAATGAGGCACTTCAATTCGAACAGACATGAGCCAAAAGGCACAGAACCAATCTGATCACAAAAACGAGGCCTAAAATCTCAGGATTCGAACCTGTGGGATTTGCATTGCACCTAAAATAGTAATTGTAGGATTCACACCTATGACATTCTGCTAGTTTGTCTTCTTGTTGTCAGCAAGCATGCACCTAAAATAAATAGGCCGCACGGATAGCCCTTCTGCCACGCCCAAAAGCCCACCCACAGTCTTTCAAAGGGGGGGATTGTAAAATTTTAAATTTTAAATTTTGAACTCTTTAAAGAAAAAATCAGGATCCGTTCACCCACCTGCATGTGTGCTGTAGCATTCAGCCACCTGGCATGAAACATTACCGTCTTCGTCCGAACATAACGCAGCCTCATTATGAATGTATGCAAGCTAGCTTTCCCGTCCGGTACAGACAAGATGAGGGTGCGTTATGTTCAGGGGAAGACGGTAGCACTCGATCTGGGGTGAGGATAAGCACTAAACATTGCTCAGAGATGGTCTGTGTTTAATCACCCAACACACAGCTAGAGAGAGGTATGTGTTCACTTTTGCAGTGGATTTGCAATGGTCGAGTGTGCTCTATACACCTTGTGGACTACCTAGGTGGAAAAGTCACAGGTTCAAATCCTAAGCTTTGACTTGACTACCTAGTCGGGCTTTGACTACCATCTTCACCCCCAAATAGAACGCCTGGTCATTATAGCTGAATTTGGTGCAAATTCGGTCTTGATACAATGATAATGACCAGGTGTTCTATTTGGCGGTGAAGACGGTAGTCAAAGCTAAATTTTGAATTTTTGACTGTATAATAAAGAGAATAGACTGGTTTTACATCAATTGTTGTAAGGAGCACTAAGAACACACACTAGAATTGCTCCAGACAGCACTTCTAATGCATACTCACACAAGGACTTTCCTGAATGCATCTGACCTCCAACTGCGGCCAAATTCAGTTGAAAATGTCCTTGTCTCACTATGCCCTAGGTGCAGAACAAATGCAGGACGGCTATGGACCCGCAAAAGGGAAGTTGAAAAACAGTCACAGTAAGGGAAGATCAACCAACAGCCACAGTTTTCCTTCGTCTTCTTTTGCCTTCAAATCCACAGTTTTTTTACTCTTTCCTTCTTCATTTTTTTGCTAAATCCACTTTGAGCAGGGAGATGGTGGCAGGAAAGAGACGCAGCAACAACAACAACAACAGCAGAAAATAAAACGGCAGTATGCATTTGGCATACAGCTCAGACAGACAAAGAGAGAGAGAGAGAGAGAGAGAGAGAGAGAACAAGTGTGTGTGTGTGTGTGTGAGAGAGAGAGAGAGAGCAAGCAGGCG